ACCACTGCCACCTCTTTCTGGTGCAAATTAGGACACTTGGGCTTGATATGCCCCGCCTCCTTGAAATGAAAGCACACCCGAGTATATGTACCACTCCTCCGAAGATAGCTCGCTTCCCTATGACCTTGCTCCCGCACCTGAACCATCCCTGACCACCCTGGCTAGCCTTCTGAGTCTCGTCCCACTTACGCTAATGTCCCTGCACCGGCTTACCACTCTTGTTGGAATTGAACTACTGCTGAAGCTTATTTGCTTGAAGAGTTAGGTTGGTCACCACCGCCTCATCCTTCAGACCCTCGTCCAACAACGCAGCAATCTTGACCAACTCCACCACTGAACCGAACAATCTCACAAGACAACGGTTCCTGAACTCAGCCCGAAGACCTCTCAAAAATCTCTGCAGTCGTGCCTGCTCACCTTCCATAGCTCGACCAGCATACACACTAAGACTGTTAAACTCTACCTCATACTCACGAACCGTCTGTCTCCCCTGAGGCAACTCCAAAACCCGCCCCTCTAACCGGTCTAACGCCTCTAGAGGAAAGTACTTAGCGTTAAACTCTGCTACAAAGTTTGCCCAGCTCATCCCCGCTTGAGCCCTCCTAGCCGCAGCACCCCTCCACCAGAGATGTGCATCTACCTGCAGATAGTGGACTGCAAGATCAACCTAGTATTGCTCTGGACACCTAATCGAACGGAAATTCTGCTCCATCTGTATCCTCCACTCATCCGCCTCTTCAGGTTTGGCACCAACCGAAAAGAACTATGTGTTAATCCTCTGCATCTGCTCCATCATCTTGATGTAAGATGGGAGCTCCTCTGTAACTGCAACCCTCGGCTGCACCTCAGCCACTGGTGGTACTCACAGAGCCTCTGCTGGTACCCTCTTCAGTAGCCTCTCTAACAGCCTCGTCAACAAGTCCGTAATACGGTCATCTCGAGTCTGAGTAACACCCACCGGAACTCCATCCACACTGGCACCCCCACCGGCCAAATCCTCAAGCTCCTCCTGATCTGCCTACAGACTCCCGACCTGCTCAATCGTAGCACTCTATGCCACAATCTCATCCGCTACTAGAGCCCCGCGGCTCCAACCACGACCACCACCACGTCCACGGCTACGTCCACGACCTCTACCTCCAATATCCATCTGCACTTTCACAATCAGCAGCTAAGTACACCAAGACATCAGACCAAAAATACAAAATACCTTACCGTGAAATCTCATTGAAGGCTCGAAGAGGTTGATTCTAAGACTCCATGCTCACTCAAATTGACTACCTACTCATTATCAATTTTTTCAATACAAACAAACAACGGTTTAACAACACGCATCAAGCATCACGAAAATTTAATCAATCCCAATTAAATTTCCTAAACCGTCCTAGAAGAGTAAATACTCTAATACCAATTGAAGCAACCGGACCCATTTTTTTTAATTAATTAACTAATATCTCCATAAATATTAATTAATATCTCCAATTAAAAATCATGCCAAAACAAAACAACTCATATCAACAATCCAAATTCCACCTATTATAAATTAACCAACATAAACCAATAAATTATCTAACAATTCTAACAACTTCTAATCCAAGATTCCATCATACTAAAAATAATAAAATGACATCAACGAGACCCTAGATCATCTTCATCTACTCGCCATAATTCCACGATCACACTTTATCTTTACCTACACTAAAAAAGAGATGCATACACCAAGAAAAGAGATGCATAAGTATTTCAATAAATACTTAGTGAGGCGATCCTCCCACCAATCAACACATAATTCATGAAAATAAACCAAACCAATGACAATCATCCAATAACACAACCATCTCACGGATTTCAATTCTAGATCCTTCAAAAATCCAACCTACACATCACAACAAACAATCACATAATCCCAATCGCTTAGATAAGCTCATGGTCATGCACTCACCTCAGCTTAGGGATGATTTTTGAACAAAGAACAACACCACACAACCACAGTTGACTTATTTCCCACGTCAACAGTAACTCAAAGCACCTTATAGCCAATCACAAAAATCAAAACATCATTTAAACCAAACTATAAAATTCTGAAAAAATCACAAAATGGTCAGCCTGAAAGATGGGATCACGAAACAAGATCTAACCGTCCAATTTCAAATCCCACCGTTGGATAACATTTTCTGGATGTCCTGAAGCGACCCACAAAATTTTGTAACGCTCAGACAAAGGGTTCGCTCACGATCTACCTTTGAATACACACTGGTCCAAAACGCGTCTGAAACAGAAGAGCTCACGAAAACATAAATAACTCTTACAATATTGACTCAAATCAATATCCGCAAAAGGCCACTACTAAATTTAAGTATTATCTACAATCTCTGATATTTTCGTTACCTTTGAAAACGACTTGATATGTTAAAACTCTATTCTACCAAAACGTGTCTAGTCTGTCTCTCTCCTTTCACCAAACTTCAACCTCTCCCTCTTCTTCACACAAAAATTAGCTCTCTTTCTCTTCATTTTTTTTTTGCAGTTCACGACACAGGAGAAGAGGAGGCTGTTGTCGTGATATAGAAGAAAAAAAATAGGGTTCTGTTGTTTAATTTGATTAAACCAGGATTTTACTAAACCGAGAATTAATTAAACCACCTATTTTGTTTAATTAATAAATCAATCCTTTTAGTAAACCAGCTGAAATTGAACCGACTCTACTCCAATTCCCGATATAAACATCCATTTTTCTATTTTTTTAGAACACGGGCGTTACAAAATCAATTCCTTTAAACCTCTCTACATGCACCAACATATTCATGAAAGCGGAGTGTTACACTTTTTTATATACTTTAGTAAAAATGAGTGAGTGAATTCATTGGTAAATTAGAAAACAAAAATCAGTGGTAAAATTGCATACTCATTATCTAAATTTCTTTAATAATACATATCGAAATGAAAAATAAAAAATCTTCTCTTAGAATTTATATAATATGTTGGTTTTACCTAAATTGTTAATACTGCAACGACGATTTCGGATGATGTGAAAACACATATTGCTGGTTGTAGTTAAAAGCCTTATAAATTTGTTTTCCAAGTTGGAAGAGATGGAGAAAGCTAAGTTCTAAATATTGTACTAACAAAGTTGTACAAACAAAAGAAATAACATATTATCATTTTGTGACACCTAAATAAAATAGCTTTTGTAGAAATATATTGAAAAAATTTGTTGTGAAAAAAAAAAGTTGGCAAACAACATATAAATGAAAATAATATATTAATAACTATCATTGGAAGTATATGATTTTAATCAAAATATATAAAATGAAAGTTAAAATATATTACTCTATAATTACTTGATTAAAAGCATAAAATTACTTATAGATAAGAGAAACACATGTACTTGTCCAAACGTGTACATATTTTGTCTATGAGACCATCTCCAATGTATTTCCCTATTTTTATCTCTATCTCTATAATAGAGGTAAGTTTTCTCTATTTTTACTCCAATGTGTTCCTCTATTTTTTCCTCTAAAAATTTAACTCTATTTATAGAGGAAAAAATAGAGATTCTCTATTCTCACCTCTATATATAGAGAAAAAAATAGAGATCTCTATTTTAGAGGTGAGAATAGAGGTGGGTTGGAGTAAATTTGCCTCTAAAATAGAGTTTAGAGGCAAATATAGAGGTGGGTTGGAGATGCTCTGACTTCCGTTTAGTTTAACAGGATAAAATATATATATATATTTATAGAAACAAGAAAAATGTAAACTTAAAAAAACAAAAGAACGAAAAAAACGAAAAAATGTAAAATTTTGTTATTAAAATTTACAAAATAATATCAATATAGAATTAAGATCCTTATTAAAAAGAAAAAAAACGAGATATGAAGATAAGAAAAATCTAAATTTTAGAAAAACAACATATGCAAAAAAAAAGAAGGTATAAGTTTCTAAAGCTATCCACATAGGATTTAAAACGACTAATCACAATTAGCCATCTCAGCAATTGACATTTTTAGATTCTAATAACTTTCAATTAAGAAACTTATAAAAAAAGAAACAAAAAACGATAGGAAAAATGTAAACTTAATATATATATATATATATATATATATATATATCTATGGAAAACAAAAAAAATGTAAAATTTTGATATTAGAATAGATATAAAACAAGCCACAAGCTTCTCAAACTCTCCACAAGGATTTAAATCAACTAATCATGATTAGCCATGTCAGTAATCAGCATTATTAGATTCTAATAATTTTCTTTATTAAAATACTAATAGAAAGAAATATATATAGAATATATATATATATATATATATATATCTATATATATATATGTATATGAAAACAAAAAAAAAATATAAACTTAAAAAACAAAAACATATGAAAAAACAAAAAATAGAAAATTTTATTATTAAAATATATAAAATAATATCATTAGAAGATTGAGATATTTATAAAGAAAACAAAATATATAAGTCGAAACAAGAACAATGTAAATGAATAAAAAAACATATGCAAAAAGGAAAAATGTAAAAGAAAAAAAAGTATATATAAATTAATATCATTATTAGTCTCATTAAATTTGCCAATATCCCCTCTTAAACACAATTAGGGCTATGCATTTTGGTTTAATTATGAGTTAAATTTTATTTGATTATTTCGGTTTTAGTAAAACATTAAGTCTCTAATCGAAGCCGTTTTGGTTTGTTTTAATTCAGTTATGCTTAAGTTGGTTGGCTTGATTTGGTTTGTTATTTATAAGAGATTATTAATAAAATGGAAAGAATGGCAATAAATTGAAGCGAGAAAAGTAGACATTTTATTATTTATAGAATAATCAATCAAGTGGTAGGTTAAAAAAAAGTTTTAATCACTAAAAGATTAAAGTCATTTTTATATACTTGAGTTAAAATGAGTGAGGACATTAATTGGTAAAATAAGAAACAAAAATCAATAGTAAAATTGTATACTCATTATATATATTTCTGATTATAATACATATTGAAAAGAAAAAACAAATTTCTTCTCTTTTAATGGATATAATATGTTGGCTTTAAGCAACGATGATTTCTTATGATATGAAAAGAAGGGTGAGTAAGCTCAGAGGTAAAAACAGAGAGGCAAATTAGCGCAGAGGTAAATGGCTGCCTTGTCTCCTAGCAACGGAAAAATAGCTTCACTTCTCGCCCTCGCATTCGCAATAATAACGAAAAAACCAGTAGCTTACGTATCCATGCGAGTGGGATAGCATTGTTGACTTTTTTGGCAAAAATTAAAAGGACGAAGAGACGTCTCTGTTCGGGACATGACGGTTACGCGGCGACAGAAGGAAGGAGGCGATGTCTATTAAATGCAACCTGTATACGGTCTCGGATATATTGAGTTTGAATCTATTACGAAACGATTGGCGGGATTTTGAAATTTGAACAACTACCCTAAACGATTGGACCCCCAATAAATAGGCTTCGAACTGCAACGCAAATTCTTCAAGCCACAAACAAAGAAAAAAATCATAAACTCTACAACTAGAGAGACGACTGTAATAATCTGTGTGGAGGTCTAACTAAGGTATTTTATCCCTTAGAGTTGTTGCATACTAAATATGGTGACTCTATCTTACTTTTCTGCTTTTGTTTTTGGACAGGTTCTCAGATGGAAGTAACCGATGAACTAATCACCGACATGGTTCGTGTTAAACTTGGGGGATACATGGACAAAAGATGAAAAAGGAGTGTGGAGATTCTCTGGGTCGGAAGGGCAGATAGGGAGGTACATTCGCTTCAGGAAAGGAGACGGTGTTGAACCAGCAAAGACGAAGGTCATTGAAGAGTTTAGCATCAACACAAGCATGGAGAAAATCGAACTTACGTATGAGATGCCCGAATGGATGGACGTCGACGGTTCTGTCAAGCCTGTCCCTATTCACATTGTATCCGACGACAACATGGACATGTTCCTAGCTATGCGGGTAGACATCAACGAAATGAAGCTCTTCATGGTCCCTCTGATGGACGATAACAGGGTCACACGATTAACCAGAGATCTGTTCTCTGATTTTGAAAGAGGTAAAAGCTTGTCGAGAATATCATTTACGTAAGAGCATGCAAACAAACGAAATAGATATCTAACTAGTTTTTTAACAACAGCTGCTGACGGGTAAAGCGGGGATATAGGAGACACCTCCGAGCAACAAATCGGATCAGCAACTTAGAGAGAAGCACCAGAACGCACCCATGGTAGAAACTCTTATACAAACTAGCTTTCAAATATTTGGGTCGAAAATTGAATAATAACCTAATTTAAAACCGGATCACAAATGACTACCATGCGGCTGCCTTGATATCAAGAATGTTAAGGATGTTGAGCCTGCCTGAACACACTTTCGCGAGAGACGCAGCCCCAGTGTTAGACGACAACGAGGCAGATGGTGATCTATTATTTGGAATATTCAAATATATGCGTATGATATATAGATAGATATATGTATATGTGGTCAGCTATATGTTGATGTAGATTGTTAACGATTTGAATAGGAATTGAGAGAACTAGGCTTGTCGTGCTGGATGTGGATTACGAAGGAGACGAGCTATTGTGGGACACGTATTTAAAAACCGAGACGATTGGAAGGTTAAAATCGCAGTCCACGCTATCAACCGGAAGTTTAGCTACCGTAATCACCGCACCACTAGCGATGTAGTGATTATACAATATGTGTTAGATGCTTGCCCATGAAGAGTGTACTGCTTGCGGTTGGACGAGTCAGAGTACTTTGAAATTCGAACTGCCCATTTGGAACATACATGTCCAGTAGAAGTAAGAAGTCAGTTCCCACGCCAAGCTACGACATCGGTGATATCACAAATCATGAAGTCAAAGTACGCAGGAAGCTGAGCATGGCCAACGCCGATAGCAAAAAGGCGAGCTCTGATTGAAAAATATAATGTGAACGTCTCGTACTGGAAGACTTGGCGATCAAGGGAGCTTGCTATGGACTAGGCCAAAGGATCCCCAAATGGGAGTTACGGGATTCTGCCAAGCTACCTTCACATGTTGACAAGGGCAAACGTAGGAACCGTCACCGATTTGCACACAGAGCTGGAAATTGATGGCGACAGTAGGTTCAAGTACTGCTTTGTTGCTCTAGGAGCAAGTGTACGGGGATGGAAGTTCATGAGGAATGTTGTGATAATTGACGGAGCACATTTGAGAGGAAAGTATGCGGGTTGTCTTCTAACAGCGAGTGCACAGGACGGCAATTTCCAGATATTCCCAATCACGTTTGGGATAGTCGATGGAGAAAATGACAAAGCATGGGAGTGGTTCTTCACATGCCTTACGAAGATAGTTCCAGATGGTGAAAATCTAACTTTCGTGTCGGACATACACTCTTCGATATACACAGGTCTTGGAAATGTATGGATGTCTATATTTTATATTGTCGGTGTAACATCGGGAATAATATGAGATTTTTATTTATCAATTTACTTTGTTTATTAGATGTCTATTTAAAAATATAGCGTAAATATTTGAAGGTATATCTGAAGTCAATCCATGGGGCTTCTATCGTTCATCTACAAAGAAATGTGGCTACAAAGTTTAAGAAGAGAATGCTCGCTGGCCTTATTTCTAAGGCAGCTAGAGCTTACAGAAAGACAACATTCCACGAGTTCTTTGCGGAAATTAAGAGAGCTTCTCCCGGATGCGCAGAATATTTGATGGCTATTTGTTTAGAACATTAGACAAGGTCACACTGCTATGGGACAAGGTACAACATCATGACTTCGAATGTCGCCGAGTCACTCAATGCAGTCCTGAAGGAGGCACGAGAGCTGCCAATTGTGTCGACCCTAGAGTATATCAGAGTACTCGGAGGTACTCTGATGACTTGGTTTGAGAAGCGTAGGGAAAAAGCAACCCAACACGACAAGCCACTTACACCAAAGGTGGAAGAAATTGTTCAAAGGAACTATGAACGGTCCACATCTTATGACGTGGCAAAGATCAACAACGAGCAATACGAGATGAAGACTACAACAGGTCTATCGTACGTTGTGGATATCCAAAAGAGGACATGTACCTGCGAGGAGTTCAACTTGCTACAGATTCCTTGCAGCCACGCAATTGCAGCCGCGATATGTTGTGACATGAGTGTGCCAATGTTGGCAGCTCCCCAGTACGGAAGCTTCTTTTGGAGTCTTGCTTACACTGGCGGTATCTATCCCGTCCCTGACTTAAGCACTTTACGTGAGGTTCCAGACAGAATTGCCACATTGACAGTCCTTCCTCCACTCACAAGAAGGCCACCAGGTAGGCCAAATCGTACTAGATACCTTTCAACTGGAGAATTTGAGGTATTATTGGATATATAAGGTAATGTAGATGACTAACTTAAATATTAGATGTTTAAATCTTCTTCTCGCATACTTTCAACCAATGCAGAGGCCGAAGAAGATAACGAAGCGGAGCTGTACCAGGTGCCGTGGGACTGGGCATAACCGCGCTTCCAACAAGATGCCAATATAACCTAGCATTTGGAAGCTTTGGTAATATATCTATGGAGCTCACTAAGTAGCAGATTTACCAGCACTGGAAAGATATAGTTGGTCAACATTGATTATCTGTACTCTCCCTTCAACATTGACAAGAACCGCTGGATTGCAGTTATGGTGGATCTGCCCTCTCACTCCCTCTCTGTTTTTTTATTCCTTTGCGGATGTCCGTTGTGGTTCCAGACTTAAACCTGAACTAGTTTTTATGTGAGATGTTTCCATATTTGGTTCGTAAGGTTGGTGTGAATGATCTTATGATCAATATCCTCTGAATCCTTTGTCCTTCACTCGCCACACCTGCGTTACCCAAGCCTCAGACCGCGCGAAACACCGGTATGCTCTCCCTTCTTTTTATGGAGGCTCATGCAATTGGAGGTTTTGATAAGTTTTGTCAAGTATCTGAGTCTGGTATTCGTCAGCGAGCAGAGCAGCTAGCCGTCCAATTGTATGAGCATTATTGTGGTGATATCGAAGTATGACTTGACTCTGTCTCTATTTCCATCTATCCCTGTTTTATGTTGAACAATTTGCGATCTCGGGTTTATCTTTTGGGATTTTAGTTTAACTCCGGACTTGTTACTATTATCTTATGATTTGTACTAATAACTTTATGTTTTTGGACCTTAAGTCTACTTTAGCCCTCTTTTCTATTATCTGCGGATTATTTTCTTAACAATCTACTTAGAAATATAGTTTTAACAAGATCAACATGCCGTCTAATATTATAAGTGGACGTACATATATAATATTAGATAATCAATTATGATACATAGGTCTGCAATTATTGAAGTAGACATTTATACACCATTAATTATTCAAGTTTTTATTTAATTATTGAAATTTATCGAGAGTTCAAGATGCGTATTTATTGCATTTGCATGCTACTTATTCTATTTTGATTCATCTTATAGGCATGGATAATCTATATCATTTCGTTTATTAGATATTCATTGTTAGTTATTGTTATGTAATTTACAAACTAGCCTTGAAAAAAATAGGTACATAATTTTTGGATACCTAATTGATGCAGTAGATCTAGATACCGGTGCACACGATATTTCAGACGACTAAATCAGAAAGATAGTGGTTGATTCGATTGACACATCCAAAGTCATATTCAGGATTACAAGATACTTAAATGATTACGCATCTATATTATAATGTAATGGCTTACTTCAAGGCATGGACGACGGTCGTCAAGACACAAATAAATCCTATCCATGAAATTATGAGTACTTCTCGGAGTGTTTGTTCCTTCTCCTTGCTTGCCTTCAAATCGCTTTTTAAAGCGATTCTTTCCTTCTCTAAGTCCTCCATTTTTGTCTGATATTCTACACTTACCTCACCGGCATAGCTTTCGATTCCTTCAGCTTGACTCTCCCTAAATCTTTTAAATTCTGCATCTTGTGCTTTGATTAAGTCCTTTGCTTTCAAAAGAGCTTTTTTCTGCCATCCATGTGGTTTCTCAAGGTCTCTCCATTGGAAGTAGTTACATTCGCTTCTCCAACCCGCACCATACCTATAGAATCGTCTGCCTGGATTTGCGTCCGTTCACGCTTGTCGAATTAATGCCTGCTTCCCGTAGTCGCATTCATAACCGCCATCTGTCATCTCATTGCCGATATCTTGAACCGTTGAGCTTGATCCGCCTTCCGACCCTGTAGTCAACTGTTGCCTTGACATATTGTGTTGCCTCTAAGTTGTGTTGTTTTTTTTTTTTTTTGTAGCTGCCTCACCATCTAACCTTTGATGGCGTGGGAAGGGTAAGTTTGAGACGGTGCCCCCGGCATTGAAAACGCGTCTTTGTGTTGTACGCTTCATAGACTAATAGGTGCCCCTACGCTGTTGGCCTAGTTCACAGTGTCCCTTTTTATAATGTTTCCTCATCGTTTCGCCCTTTTTTTTTGTTTTTTCGCAAACTGACACGTTCTTTTTCTTTATAGACATCTAACGCCTTTTTTAACTGGGTATATAATTTTATTTTTGTGAAATATTTCTAATTATTAAGGCATTTATTTCCAACAGATGATGTAATTCTAAGTGATAGGAAACAACTTTTTACCGGAAAGCATTAAAATATTACAAAGCCAGATTGAATGGTGTACGGACTCACAAGATCAACGCAATACACCATCTCTAGTATAGTTCAGGAATATATTACATATGTGGGGAAGGTTCACCCACAGAAACACATATATTACACAATTGTGCCCGTGACATCTTTATCATACATAAAAATGTTGCCACTTCTTGATTTTGGGGACGGAGGAAGGATCAGTGTTAATGAAGATGGAATCCCTCATAACAGTGACACACGCGTCCATAACCTAAAAGACAATAATTAGTTACAAAGAAAAAAGAATGATGTGAAAATATAACTTGAAACTGATGTAAACCTGAGGATTTTCAGGAGAAATGCTACTAGCTACTAGCCGCAACTCAGTCTCCTTCAAAACAAGTCCTCCACCATACTCAAAGTCACTAGAGAGAATAAAAGACAAAAACTTAACTCTGTAAATAAATATATACCATTCAGAATTGTTTAACTAAAAAGATAGCATTCTAAATAATCATATATATCTCTACACAAGCTCATGCATATTTACATTAATAAATAACTGATATGAAATTTAGGTTATAGGCTTACAATCTAGGCTCAAGTAGCTCGACTAGTTTCTTGAACTTCTCAGAGCTAGGACAACCATCATATTCAATCACCGCCTCAGAAACACTGCCACCCTCTCCATCAATACTATCTCTCGATGCCTGCGACTGAGTGGATTCCTCACTCGCAGAGGAAGAACCATCAACCTTATAAAAAGGAAAAAAATCAGAAACAATTAAACTAATGTACCTAGCATCAAAGAACCAGAGAAATACCTCTTCAGTGCCAACATTCAAATCGGTGGAAGCAGCAGGATTGACAGGGTTAGATGCACCATTAGTAGGATTCAGAGGGTTAGATGCACCATTAGCAGGATTCACAGGGTTAGATGCACCATTAGCGGGAGGCTGGCTGTAAGGATCAAAAGTATCTACCCCAACTTCACCAACAACATTCCTTACAAGCTCTCTAGAAATGAGAGCCTCATCCACCGCAAAGAAAATGCTTTGTTTCATAATCCTCTCTAACCTCAACTCCATCGCTTTCAAGTCGACACAAACATGAGCATATACATCACCACGAGCCTCCTTCAGACCAGCATCAAGTTCATATTTAAGAGCCCCAAGAAGAGAGGTATTAGGGTCAGACTGGACATGCCTACCCCTACTACTGCGAACCTTCAGTTTCTTGTCCCTGGAAGACCCACCTTTGACCAAATGATCACCACTCTGCTTGGAACGGACTTTTCTTTTACCTTTGTTAACAACCCGGGGAGGAGGCTCCACATGCAAAACAGCGCCTCTAAGTCCCTACAAACATCCCCCGGTTGAATTGACACCCCTCTTAAATTTTCCCCATAATGACTTCAACACCTGGATCACGGACCTCATCAGGCCAGCTACAATCCTCTAAATCAGCAACATCTTCGGGTGTAGAGATGATAGATAGAACATCAACCTAGAAATCTACAAGAAAACACGACATTTGCGACCCCCATATTGGTTGCAAAACGGTCGCAAAATAGGGTTTTACGACTCTTTCACGACTAACTAAGATAGTCGCTAAAAAACGGTCGCAAAATTTTCCAATCCCAAGATAGTCGCTAATTTGCGACTCTTTTCCAACATAAATTGTAGCGTCGCATATTAACGACTAATCTGTGACGGGTTAATGTCGTTGTATATTTCCGACTAAAGAGCGACTAACGTAAGTTAGCAACTAGTTTGCGACTTGTTCGGTTCAAATGAAAGAGTTCTTGGATCGAATATTTAGTCCCACATTAGTCGCAGACGATATATCTTTTAGTACCAATTTAGTCGCAAAAGAGTCTTAATTGTTTGCGACCAATTTAAAACTCTCATTGTTGTGTAGCAAAAGAGTCTTCTATTAGTAACCATTTTGATACTAGATTTGGAGTTTCTTGTAATAATGTGTAGTCACACATTGGTCACATTTGTTAATTAGTTTGGTCACATATTGGTTACACGTTAATAATCCCAAACCTGCAAATTCGCTTTCAAATGCAAATAATCCCAAACCTGCAATACTTCATTCAAATGCAAATAATCCATCATTCAAAAACACTAATAAAAACCATCCTAACAAAGTATTATAGAGTACAAAAACATAAGCAAATAAAAGACTAGTTTACAAGTTTACATAATATCATACCAAGTCTTATACTAATATCGTAAGTGATGCCTAAGTCTAAAAACAAAATAAAACTAATATAGATAGAGTCAAATTTCTTGAAGTGAGCTAGCTTAAAAGAGTAAAAACAATCAACTTTCAGTGGTGAAGGAAAGTGACGAACTTCTTGAAGCCTTACTAGCAGCGTTCTCTTGTTCCTCTGCCAATGTTCAAGTTGATTAAGGTCTCCAAGAACTGCATCAGTTATGGTTGGAGAGATGAGATGATTAAGGTCTCCAACTGTACAAAACAAAAAAGCTTATTACCAAAGTGAAGACAATCAAGAGCTGATCAAGCAATACATCAAAACTGTTGAATAATCTTAGTCATTTAAGAGACAGAACCATTCATGAAGCATACAATATTAGACCTCTTTAGGAAGAAATTTTTATATTAATTCCGTGTGACATGTGTGTTCCTTATACAATGCATATCTAGTGAAGTCACAATCTCTTTCAGCTAAATGACTTTGAGCTGATTCTAATTCCTAACTTTTACGAATGCATAAAAAAGCAAAAGAACTTACTTTTGTATATCCTGACACAACCCAATGAACATCTGCAGGCCAACCACATAACCAAGTAAGAAACAATTAATGACTTAGTGCATCTTTTGTTAATTAAGTAAGCAAACTACTGGAAGGTCCAAAGTCACTAATTATTAAAAGGAAACTTGCTTTAGCCTTCTGGACCATCCTTCCTTTGGTCTCGATGTTAACACACCCATGTTTTAAACACATAACAAAGATGACCCAAATTCTTGAAATTATGATTTGACGAGTAGATAAACCTTGATGATAAGAAAAGAGATTTTACTTACTCTTCTCTGTTGCCGGTCCATTGTTCTTCAAGATTTCAGAGATTGTCACCATAGTATAATTGTGATTGCTGAATTCACTGAAGATTAGGTTATACATGTTTAAGTGATGGTAAGAGTCTTTAGATGAAACTGAATCAACCATATTCAGCTCATAATATCTAGTTACTTGCTCCAAAACTATACCTATGATGGCAACATAAAAATTGAAATGAACCAGATTTAGCTCTAGTTCATGCTCCGGATTCACATTTATATCAACCTCTCTAAGATTTCATCAGCCGTAACAATACATACTCAAAATACGTTCTCATTGGATCAAAACCAGAAACAAAATGCATACTTAAAGGATTCAATTTTAAGAGTTGAAAGAAGAGTAATTACCCCATTGGCAATAACGACCCCGGTGACCACAGGGACAAGAGAGAAGTAAGTCAACCAAGCCTCTCTCTTAAGCCTCATCCGGTAAGCAAACACGGCGGTGAAAAACGTCGTCCAAGCACCAATCGCTTGGTTAAACGAAACAGGAAGAAAGAAAAGAGAGATGTTTCCAAAGACCACCGACATACAAAAAACGAGACTTAGATCTGAGATCTTAAAGAACTGAACTCGGGATCGAATCGTCTACATCGGCACCATCTTCAACCAAGCAATGGCGACGTAGATGAGTAGCGAACAAGCCGTCATGTGACACTTTTGGAACGATTCGGCTCCTGAGGCGGCAGTTGATGCTCCGGATTTGGAGGAGGCGGCGGTTGATGATGGGGATTCTGGTACATTGGTTGTGAAGCTTGAGCCGCAGGTTGTGGCTGACGGAGAGGTCGTTGTTGAGACGATGAGAATGAAGCGAAAGAGAAGAAGAGAAGGAATCGATTCAGGGAGAGAGAGATTGAAACCCTAGATCGAGAGAGAAGAAGAAGAATCGCAGAGTTAGAGAGAAAAAACCCTAGATCGAGAGAGAAAGAAGATCGAGAGAGAATGAAGAAAGTGAAAAGTCGAGTGTGTGTTTTGCCTAGTAATTAACGAAAAGGAGTCGCTCTTTAGTCGCAAAACAATCGCAACATCAATTATTTGGGGGGAAAATTAAGCGCCCAAATACTTGGGGAAAATTTCATAAGATTTAACAAAAGTTGCAAAACAGTTGCAATATTCGTCGGAAAATGGTCACAAAACTTGTCGTAATTTAGTCACAATAAAGGTACAGGTCGCAATAATGTCACACAATAGTCGCAAACTGTGACTAAGTTGAGACAGACAATAAAAAGTCACAACACAAAAAACTCAAAATCTATGGATTTGATTCATTCTATTGATAAAAATCACTCATAATCACTCACTTTAGTAGCATAGAATACATGTATAAGTGTTAGGTTGGTCAAACCTGGCTTTCTCAACATATTTTATAAATTTTACAAAATTCTCTATCATGTTCATAAAGTAACATGATGAGTTCATATGGATTTAGAACTTTTGAATGTTTGGATTGTAAACATTGAATTTCAAGAGGTTGGTTGAGTCTTTTTTTACTAACTTCAATAAAATCAAAGTAGTAACATATAAGAAAACATGTAAACAAACTTCAATTTACAATTTTGAATTGAAAATATCGAGCGTTGGTAATCAGTAGCAAAATAGTCGCTAATCTCAGGTGCTAGACGCGAAAGGGTCACAAAATAGTTAGCAAAATTTCTTAAAATATAACAAACATCGCAAAAGTCGCAAAACCGTTGCAATATTCGTCGGCAAATAGTCACAAAACTTGTCGTAATTTAGTCACAATATAGGTACAATCGCGAAAATGTCACAAACTAGTCGCAAAGTGTGACTAAGTTGAGACAGATAATGAGTAGTCACTATAGAAAAATACAATAGTTTTGGATTTGATTCACTATACTGATAGAAATCACTAGTAAACACTCACTTTAGTAGCATAGAGTACATATATAAGTGTTAGGTTGATCAAACCTGGCCTTCTTAACTTATTTTAGAAATTTTACAAAATTCCCTATTATGTTCATAAAGAGACATGCTTAGTTCATATGGATTTGGAACTTTTGAATGTATGGATTGTAAACATTGAATTTCAAGAGGTTGGTTAAGTCTTTTCTAACTAACTTCAATAAAATCAAAGTTGTAATATATAAGAAAACATGTAAACAAACCTCAATTTACAAATTTCGAATTGAAAATATCCAGTGTTGGTAATATGTAGCAAAATAGTCACTAATCTCAGGTGCTAGACGCGAAAGGGTCACAACATCAGTCGTACAATGGTAACACAATATGTCGGATTATGGTCACAAACCTCAAATCTGATATTTCGAATGTTTAATATCGAGAGTTGTTAATATGTAACAAAGTGGTCGCTAAATCTCAGATAAATGTGATCGATTATCTTTGTTCGTCGCAAATATGTTGCAAAATTTGCCACCGTTTTGTGACCTTTTGTCAAATTGTAAAAAAAAAGAGTTCTATAGATAACAAGTCGCTAAGTGGTCTCAAAGTGCGACCTTGTTGCGACCAAAAATATTGAATCGGTAAACGGTCGGATAGTAGTCGCTTAATTGAGACTGTTGTCCGACTACTTATTTCCGTCGCTAATAAGCGACCAGTTTCCATCTGTTTCGTTTGTAGTTGTTTAACAGTCGCAAAACAGACACAAAGTAGTCGCGCTTTTTTGCGACCATAAAAATAGTCACAACAAAGAGTCCCAAATTGCAGGTTTTCTTGTAGTATTAAAATAAGCTGACTCTGTTAATAAGTGTCAAATATAACTAGGTAAACAGGATAACTAGGTATATAAAAATATAGAGGTCTACAATACCTTAGTATCTTTATCAAGATCCCAGACTTTATCCAGTTTCAAAGAAATAACAGGGAAAACATCTTCATCACAGACTCTGGGTCAGTTATTTCACCAACAACTGAAAGAACAGATGGGACAGCCTCCACCAAAACCAGAACAAGAGCATGGATAAAACCTTGAATGGCCACTGTTGCTTGAGTTAATTGATTGAGAGATCTTGACTTAATGCATTGCATTGTCATATCGAAACTATAGCTTCCCCAAGGGTATTTCAAAAAGACATCTAGATCACGAATCATCTCCACATGCTCCTTAGGTATCTTCATGTGGAAAGATCTGCGATAAAGAAAACCATCAACAAGTAACAAACATGCATACTTAATTCTCACTTCACTAGTCAGTGCCTTTGCCCTACGAAGCTTGGCCAACAACATCTCCCTAGTGAAATATTCTTCCCCTCCAAAGAGAGTAAACCAATAGGGAGTGATGCCGGGAGGACACTTAATTAAAGCTCTATCCAGAGCTGGAAGAGGCTGACAATTTAGACCGGTGACTAAATGATATTAGGTTTTTACTCTCTAACAAGTATCAATTCCTAATACACATGCCATTGTAGTATATTAGGTTGTCAATCCAATCTCAGTGTGACTGCAAGCATTCAAGATATGAAACAGAAAGCAAATAAGTCAAGCCAATTATGAAAGGGTTTTGTGTGTTTCTATTGATCCTAAGCAACCAATTTAACATGCAAATACCAAATTCGAAAGCATAAGAAAGAGAACTAAATAGCAAGTAAACAAGAACAAGAAGTAAACTAAAGACCAGAAACTATCATGCATAAGCTTTGGAAAAGAAACTATCAACCTAACAAAGCAGAGAGACGATCTAGGCCTAGCAGGTCGAGTAAGACACAAAAGCTAACAGAAACGAGATTCAAGCAATCAATAGAGATAAAGGTTCCTGAGGAATGAGATAATCGATTATAGCAGTCTCCTTAGTCTATCTAGGTGGTTAACAAACTCAATCAAGCTATCCCTAGACAATAGATTCAAATACAAATCAATCCACTCTCGTGACAGAGATTCTCAAGCTAAATCACTTTCATACTCAATTCTCATTGAAGAAACATAACCTAGCAGGCATTATGATTCAATCTAATCTAGTCAATAAGCATTCTAAACATCCAATCTCTTGGGCTAGAGTATGCAAATCTCTGGAAAAGTTTGTTCAGACATTTCATCAAACACCTTTTGGGTGTGGAAATGTCTGAGATCAACTTCCAATTGATCAGAGAAGAAGTAGCATTAAGATCTACTAAACCAGAAGGGAAATCAAGCAATTCTACACTTAACCACCTAAATATACTAAAGATTCCACACCTAATCTAACCCATCCTCAAGAACCCTAATCCACTACTCAAGAACACTGAAGAACATCATGCATAAAAACCCAGAAAATTGCATAAACCCAGAAATCATTAAAAAGCAAGTATGTTATAGATAAGAGGCAGATCTACAACTTTGATGAAGAAACGAAATGCAAAATCTCAAAGGATCAAAGGAAAAACGATTACAAAACTAGGGTTTTTAGAGAGAACAGGCTCAATATCCGCTGGGTAAAGAGAATATCCTCTGGATAAAAGGGTGAGCCCCTATTTATAGAAAATACTAGGTTGCCCTAATTAGCTACAAGACAAAATAGAGAGTCGGCGGAGACCCACTCGACGTGACGTCGAGCCAGCCACGTCGAGACATGCTCCTCTTCAGAGATGGCGCCTGGATGACCCACTCGACGTGTCGTCGAGCCAGCTACGTCGAGACAGCTCCTCCTCAGCTTCTTCACGTCTCACTCGACCTCACGTCGAGCCTGGTTGGTCGAGACTGTCCTTCGGTGGTTTCTGGGCACTAGCTCGATCTCCATCGAGTCCTTGACGTCGAGACCGGTTCTGGATGCTCTCGATTGGCTTCATTCCTCTCCAACTCGATCCCAAGTCTAGTTCCAAGGTTGTGCGGCTCCTCCTTGCTCCATTAAGTCCCAAAATAAGCTCCAAAGTACCTGAAACTCATCCAATATGCAACATGCTATGCCATGCAATGCAAATCGTACTAAGTGATGAAAATGATATGAAAAGGACTCTGGATGCAATGAAAGAGTGATAAAACTTAGCTAAATGTATGAGAAAAGTAAGCTTAAAAGTGGTAAAATACAGAGATATCAACTCCCCCAAACTTAGCTCTTGCTTGCCCTCAAGCAAACAAATAGAACTAAGCTGGAGAAGAGGTTTGAAGGTGGAGACTCAGAACCAAAACATGCATATAGAGTAAGTGAATTCAATGTCCAGGTTGCTAATTCTAGAATGCAAGGTTGACTGATCTCTACTTAAAAACATTAGCCATCTCCTTCACATCTCAACCTAACCTCTGCCTTAATCAATTCAAGCATTCAAATCAGCACATTCCCTTTAACATTGATTAAGTAGGAACCGTGAATCATACTATGCAGTGGATATGAACACATTTGGCTTAAGGGTAAAGGTTTAGAGACAAAGATGGTCCCTTAAAGATCTGGTTTAAATCGCAACAGGGGATCTCTCAAGAATGATTGAGCTTTAGTAGAATGCTAAAGGTGAGTATCAAGTTATGCATACAAGGATAAGACCCCATCTACCCAGAATGTAACCAATATCAACCCAAATGGAGGTCCTATTTCTAATCCCAGAACATGAACTTAACTCTACCCTTTTGCATTCAAAGCATTTACAGACCTTTACTCACACCATTCCTTTCTTTTCTTTGCTTTTCTATCCTAGGAGAAGCTTTCTTACTTTGCTCTGTCTAGCGGATTAGGATACTTTAACAACTAGGGTTCCCTTTTCTTTCTTCTTATAACATAAGGCTTTTTACCCCATTCTCTTTAAGCTATTACAGAACCCTTTTTCTTTACTTTATAACATTCCCAAATCCTTTACTAGACTTTTCTTACTTTAGCTACTTCTCCTTAGGACTCTTTTCCCTTTTCTTTTCTTTCAATGATGAACACAACCTTTTCTTTCTTTTAAGACAATCCCAAACCCAGAATTAAGCACCCACCTAGTCCTATCTGGTCCAGATAGCGTGAACCAGAACTACATGAGATACTATCCTTGTCGTTACAGACCTAACACTTTCTACCAAGCTCAATCGGAATAAGGCCTCACATTCACACACAAATGATAAATGGCTTGAAAGAAGGTTAGGTCTAAGGGTAGGGAATAACTGCTCCAAAGATGGGAGTCAGCTACTTGGACTAGCAAGAGTGATCAAAAGGTAAAAGAAAGTCCAAGTATTTTAAGGTATCCATGAGTTCATAGCACAATGCACAGCATGATAATTATAAGTCAAAATTCAAGTTCAAATAGATAGGGAATGGCATCAGATCAAAGCGAGATTCGACTAAGAACAAGAAAATCAAGCATTGAATTCAAGAGATGGTGCGGTCTTACTTCAAGTTCAGTCGATTATGCATTAGAGAACTAACAACCAGGGCACTGAGTTCTACTTAGTGAATATGCATATTTACAAGGTTATAATCATCATAATCTCCAATGCAAATGCATGATGCAACAGTCCTATATGAAAGCATACTAAAACAGTCTTAAAATGGCAATGCGAACTACATGAACACTCTCTTTTTGTATTACAATTTTCGAAATTTTTCAAATTTTTTTGGTTTTTCTATGCCTTAGATGATTATGCAATAAGAAAACAGAACACAACATCAAATACTTCTTGGACCCTCCCCCAAACTTAAATTACACAGTCCCTTGTGTAATAAAAATTCAGAAGAGAGCTCAAGAGAAACAAACAATGAAACAGAAAAACAAACTAATGCAATGAAATAGTACAATGGTTTAGGGGGATGAGTGGTACTTTGGTTTTATCCGAAGTAGGTGTCAAGGAACTCATCCATGCTCTCCTGCGTGTAAGAAGGAGCTGTGCTTGACTCTGGAGGAGGCTGCTCGACGTTGGTGTTGTGCTGCATGTAGGGAGGATTAGTTGGCTCTGGAGCAGTCTCGACGTGCTGTCTCGACGTGTCGTCGAGTTCCATGGTCGAGTCTGCCTCTGGACTTGGCTTCTGAACCTTCCTTTTCCTGCGATGGCTTTGCGAACGTTTGGGGAGTGGTGTAGACTCTTCTTGGCTTTCCCTCTGGCGTGGTTCAAAGGATGAATATCTTGGAGGATCAGCCCTTACCGCGTGTCGTGGAGCCATGCTTGAGGAACCGCTTCTTCTCAAAGTACCTCTCTCTTCTGATGATGATGGAGAGTGCTTGGACTTCTTCTGGAGGTCTGTGATCTGAAGCGCCATCTTCTTCACCATGGTGGTCAATGAGTCTACCTTCTTGGACAATCCTCGCATCGCCTTCCCTTGAAACTTTCCCAATCCTTGCAGGAGTCCTATGCGCTTGTGAGCTTCTCTCTCGCCTTTGGTCTGCCTAGGAGCTTTGTATTCCTCGAAGAAGAACCGCTCTGGTGCATAATCATCAGGAGCGTCTTGGGTTTGCTCCTGGTCGTCCTCGTGCATTGCTTGAGGCGGTGGAGAGGCAGGGGCGACTTGTGAATCGTAGAGAATGAAGGATGGTGGACAGAAATCGATGTTCTCACCAGCTCTAATCGTGGTGTGATTCGTGCATGGTAGAAGCAGCCTAGAAGTTCCTTCTTCAGGGTGATTGAATACATAGAGCAACACACCTTCAGGAGCTGTTTTATCAAGATAGCCCTTCTTCCTTAAGTACGCCATATCGATCCAAGTTGGGGAAGAGTCTCCTGTTCCCACGTCTATATTCGCAGCTACTAGAATTGGTGTCAGAATTCCGCCAATGGTCAAGCTTCCTTTGCGCCCTGACCTATGCATGTTTGCAGCATACTCCTTGTATCCCAATAAATGATCCAAGAACACAGCTATTAGAGGAGCATTTCCTCTATCTCCCACCATTTCTGCTCCATCACTAGTGTTTCTCAGGGTGAATAGGAGAGCTAAGTCCAGAAGCTGCAGTTCACCTTCACTTATGGTACCGGTGATCTTCTTTGCAAAGAACATGCTAGCAATGGACTGGTGTAGATACCTCACCACTGGGCTTCTAATAGAGGAGCTCTTGCTTTTCGAAGGCTTGTAATCTCCTGGTCCGGCGATTGTCTTCCAGAAGGCTTGGAGTTCGCGCTTATCGAAATCTGAACCAATCCCTCTTTGCTCGGGAATCCATACAAGAGATTAAGCTCCCTGATCGTTAGTGAGTAGTCTCTTCCCTTGACAGAGAACGTGATGTATCCAAAACCTCTCCCATTCTCTTCCTCTTGTTCATCCGCGTAGAAGTGTACGTCAAGAGTGGCTAAGAGCTGGCAGGTCTCCTCTTGATAACCCTCGAAACTATACCCCAGGAAGGTTTTTAGACCGCACATCTCAGCAAGGTAGTCGATATCTTCAGCGATTCCCAAAGCAGCCATCGTTTCCCGATGAGGATGTCTTGTGCCTTCGAACTCCAGTGTCTTGAGATAGCTATAGTACTCCTCTTGAGTAGGAGGCTTCCTCTTCTTCTTATCCCTTTTGGCTGGCTTAGCAGGTTTGATCTCTTCCTCCATTTCAACAGCTTCTTCTTCCTCCATTTCAACAGCCTCTTCTTGTGCAGGTTCAGAATCTGCTTCAACAACCCTCTTCCCGCGGCTTATCTCTCTTCTCCTTCTGGCCACACGTTCAGCATCATCATTTCTTGAACTCGAGGAGCCATCTCGATGTGCAGTCTCGACGTGACGTCGAGTAGGCTCATAACCTGCCTGACTCAGCGCCGTTTCGCCTCCTTCATGTTCTGGTCTATCTTCTCTCACGAAATTGGCATGACTGGTCCAAGCAGAGGCTGGAATCCTCTTGTTGATGATAGCAAAACCACGTGCAGCATGTCTTGCAGCAAGCTTCTTTCTTTCTTGGTCACTATCCATGGAGTTTCCTTGAAAAGAAGAACACAAGGAGCAGAGTGGATCAAATGAGCAGAGAATAGAGTTTTTAAAAGAAGAGAAGTGAGTTTTAAACCTTGAAATCGAGTTTTAAAACCAAAGTTTGAGAACTTTAAAAGCTTGAAAACGCAAATGCAAAGGAGAAATGAGAGAACTAGAGCTTTTAAGTGAAAAAATATGAGAGAATTTGAAGAAATGAGAGAGTGAGAGTGAGAGGAGCTCTTCTTCCCTTTTAAAGGCGCCCAAGGAGACCAAGAGACAAGGGTGGAGCGTGTGGGGCAACAAATGGTGGATCTAGAATTCAAATTCGAAATTTGAATTGTCTTGGCGTTATCTCGATGTGGCGCTCTCGACGTGGGGTCGAGAGGATGTCGGCCAGATTCAAATTTGAATTTTTGAAGCTTCCTTGCGCAAACTCGAGGTGGTGGGCTCGACGTGGGGTCGAGAGGACCGTTTGACCATTTTTGAATTTGAATTTTGGCTCCAAAGTTGACTTATAGGAAGGTTGACTCGATTTAATGGGCTTGTAGGTGTTGGGCTTGGCTTAGCATCGAGTTGGGCTTCGTTTAAGGCTTGGAGTTGGTCCATTGGGCTATCTCGACTTGTCGTCGAGTAGGCTTGGTCGAGTCTGCTCCCTACTTCCATTTTCTCGACTCCAACAGATTAGATCCTGAGAATCACAGACACTAAAAAAAAACATCAAAAATAACAAGAGATAAAGAGCTATTTACAAAGATAAACATGGGAATTCCTCCCAAGTGAGCTTGTTTAAAGTCACTAAGCTTGACTTTACTACTCTTTTAGGCGAGTTGAGGTTCCTGAAGATGGACTGTAGATCCTTCAGGAATGACGCTATCCGCGAGATACTTCTTAAGTCGCTGACCATTCACCTTAAACTCTGACCCGTCCTTAGTAAATAGCGATATCGCACCAAATGGTAGAACTTCCTTGATAGTGAAAGGACCAGACCACCTTGATTTGAGCTTTCCCGGAAATAGCTTGAGTCTGGAGTTGAACAGTAGCACTTGGTCTCCAGCCTTGAAGTCTTTTGGTGCAATCTTCTTGTCATGGAAAGCTTTTGTTCTTTCCTTGTACACCTTTGAACTCTCATAAGCTTCAAGCCTTATTTCCTCAAGTTCGTGCAGGTCAACCGATCTCTTCTCTTGAGCTTCTTTGATATCCTAAGTTCAGCAACTTAGTAGCCCAGATTGCTTTGTACTCTACCTCAACTGGAAGATGACATGACTTCCCGTACAGCATCTGAAATGGAGTCCTTCCAATTGGTGTCTTGAATGCAGTCCGGTAAGCCCAAAGTGTATCATCTAACTTAGTAGACCAGTCTCTCCTTGAAACACCAACAACTCTTGCAAGTATGGCCTTGATCTGACGGTTGGATACTTCTACTTGCCCGCTAGTCTGAGGATGATAGGGAGTAGCTACCTTGTGTTTTACACCGTGCTTCTTTAACAGACTCTCAAAGACCTTGTTGATAAAGTGGGAACCTCCATCACTGATCACAGCCTTAGGGATACCAAATCTGGGGAATATGATGCTCTTGAACAGCTTTAAGACAACCTTATGATCATTAGTTGGAGATGCAATGGCCTCAACCCATTTGGAGACGTAGTCCACAGCAACTAGGATGTACTTATTACCATAGGAAGCAGGATTGAATGGTCCCATGAAATCAATTCCCCACACATCAAAGACTTCTACTTCAAGGATAGGGTTCTGCGGCATTTCATTCCTCCTGGTGATGTTTCCCATTCTCTGGCAGGGATCACATTTAGCAATGAATCCATATGCATCTTTAAACATGGAAGGCCACCAAAGGCCGGCTTGAAGAACTTTCTGTACTGTCTTGAAGGTAGCAAAGTGACCGCCATAAGCAGAACCATGACAGTGTTCCAGCACTCCCTGAACTTCCTCTTCAGCAATACACCTTCTAAATAGGCCATCAGTACCCTTCTTATACAAATAGGGTTCATCCCAGTAGTAGTGGTTGATGTCTCTAAAGAACTTCTTCTTCTGGTAAGCATCAAGGTATTTGGGGATTTCTCCGCAGATAAGATAATTGACAAAGTCAGCATACCATGGAAATTTCTCTTCTTCTACAGCCAATACTTCATTGAATTCCTTCTTGTTGCCATGGTCCAAGAAGTATTTGATGGCTAACAGCTGCTCTTCAGGCATTGAATCGTCTATCGGAGTAGCTTCTTCCATTCTCATTCTTGAAAGATGGTCAGCTGCACCATTCTCAATCCCTTTCTTGTCTACTATTTCCATATCAAACTCTTGCAGAAGCAGTATCCATCTTAAAAGTCTCGGTTTAGTGTCCTTCTTGGCATATATATGTCTCAGGGCAGCATGGTCTGTATAGACAGTGACCTTTGATCCAACCAAATAGCTCCTGAACTTTTCAAACGCAAATACAACAGCTAGAAGCTCCTTCTCCGTTGTTGCGTACCTTCCTTGGGCTTCATCTAGAGTTCTGCTGGCGTAGTATATAACGTGAAGTTTCTTGTCGATTCTCTGGCCTAAGACAGCTCCCACAGCGTAATCTGAAGCGTCACACATAATCTCGAACGGATAGTCCCAATTAGGAGCTTGAACAACAGGAGCAGTTACCAAAGCTTCCTTGATGGTGTGGAAAGCTTTGAGGCAATCTTCATCAAATTCGAACTCCGCCTCTTTGCATAGAAGTCTTGTTAATGGTCTGGCTATCTTGGAGAAATCTTTAATAAACCTCCTGTAGAACCCAGCATGGCCAAGGAAACTTCTGATGTCTTTGACTGTCTTTGGTGGCTGTAACTGCATCATCACTTCAATTTTACCCTTGTCAACCTCTATACCCTTCTCAGATATCTTATGACCCAACACAATGCCTTCCCTGACCATAAAATGGCATTTCTCCCAATTGAGAACAAGATTAGTCTCTTCACACCTGGTCAACACCCTGCGAAGATTCAACAAACATGAGGAGAAGGAGGAGCCATAGACCGAAAAATCGTCCATGAAGACCTCCACCATCTCCTCGATCAAATCTGAGAATATAGAGGTCATGCACCGCTGAAATGTAGCTGGTGCATTACAGAGACCAAAAGGCATTCGTTTATATGCAAAGGTTCCATATGGACATGTAAAAGTGGTTTTTTCTTGATCATTAGGGTGAATCGGTATTTGAAAGAAACCACTATATCCGTCAAGAAAGCAATAATATGGATGATTAGCTAAGCGTTCTAGCATCTGATCAATGAATGGCAAAGGAAAGTGATCTTTTCTAGATGCAGCGTTTAATTTCCTATAGTCGATACACATCCTATGTCCTGTTATAGTCCTAGTAGGAATCAATTCATCCTTTTCATTTCTAACAACAGTCATTCCCCCCTTCTTACACTACAGGAAATGTGGGTATTGATAGCACTAAAAGATAGCGTTTTTTATGTATCTGCTATGTTTTACTTAATAGATAGCGTTTTCTGAATTGTAAACGTTATAAATGATTGAAGCGGGATATATGCAATTCACGCGGCCAATTTTCGGGTTACTAAAGTCTATTTCCCGCTATTGAAAATGTTAAGAGGGAAAATTGTGAAATTTTGTCTAAGGCAAAATAAAAGAAAACAAGAAAATTAACTTTTTCATTTTTTCCCTAAAGCAAAAAAAAAAACTAACTTCTTCTCTCGACTTCTCTAACAGAGAACAAAAAAAATCTGCAACTCATCTCACTGGAGATCTCTCGATCTAAGTCGGTTTCTATCGATCTCGAACAGGTATGTTCTCATTCGATCTGAGCCATTTAATTTCTTTGTTCTCTGGAAAACCAATTTGATTTGGGGTTGTGTGAAATCGATTTTGAATTTGGAATTCAAAATCGATTTTGATTTTGGGTTTTCATTCTTACACTTAGTTAACATGCATGTCGAAGTCTGGCACATATATTGTTTCAATTGTGAAATCGATTTTGATTTTGGGTTTTAATTCTTAGATTCAGGTAACATGCATGTCGAAGTTTGGGTTTTGATTATGATTTTTGGTTTCGATTTTATGTTGATTGAAACTGTTCTTCATCAGTTTCAGAAAATGGCAAAGACAAGAGGAGGAGGTCAAGTTGCTGCTCGTCGTAGTAGGCGTAATCAAGGCTTGGAGGTAGAAGATGTTGCTCCTGCAACAACACTAAAGGTTAATAAGAAGGTGAATAAGAAGAAAACAGCAAATAAAGTGGCTCGGAGAAGAAGTAGTACTAGAGCCAAGAAAGTGGCTGCTGTAGATGATGAGGTAGAAGATGTTACACCGAAAGTGGCTGCTGTAGATGATGAGGTAGAAGATGTAACACCAGAAGCTGTGGAAGAAGAAAAGGGTAATGACAAAGATATAACACCGGAGGCTGATCAGACTGAGAAAGCAATGCCTGAAGATGAGAATGAAGGAGAAGGATGTTTGACTGGACAGGGCCAGGAGGAGGATGAAGAAGAAGTTGCCAATATAGAAGAAGAAGCTTGTTTGACTGGACAGGACCAGCAGGAGTATCATCAAGAAGAAGCTGCCACTATGGAAGTAGCTGCGAATAATGAAGAAGTTGCCAATATGGAAGAAGATGGTGTTGGCAATGGTCAAGATAAAGCGATTCCTACCAACACTGATGAAGGAAGTCAGGTACCAGAAGAAAGAGTGAAAGTAAGAAGAAAAAGAGGACCAACAAAGATGCGTAAAGTGGCTGAAAATCCTAATGAAAGGGTTTCAGTTTCTTTCACTGACTTTGGTGATCATGTTGGAACTGGTTCAGTAAGATTATCATCTTTTCTTGGTGTCCTCGTGAGTCAATTCATTCCAGTTACAATTTCTGATTGGAGACAAGTTGATGCAGCGACTAAAGAAACATTGTGGGAACAAATTCAGGTATATATTTATATGCAACTAATTTTTTGTTTAACAGATATGAAACATGTTTGACCTTTGCTTGTTGTACTTGATGCAGGGGAGGTTTGACATGGAAGAAGAATGGAAAAAAGCTGTTATTATGAAGCAAATGTGTAATATCTTTAGGGGTATGAAGTCAAGGCTAGTGACAAAAGTACGTGCTGCTGAGACAGCTGCTGATATACTAGCTTTAAAACCCAGCAACATCCCATCCATTCAAGTGTGGAACTCTTGGGTTAAGAGCAAGACTAGCAAAGCTTTTACGGTTAGTATGAAGTTTATATGTTTATATGTCATGTCTTATAGATTTAATCACACTCATATTTATAATGTAGGAAGTAAGTAACAAGATGAGGAAGTTGAGACATGATCAGATTCCTCAAACCTCCAGCCGCAAAGGATTGGTTCGTTTAGCTGATGATATGGTAATAATAGTTGTCAATATCTATATATATTGTATATCTTGTTAGCATAAAATGGTACTGAGATATGTATATGTACTTTATATAGAAAAAAAAGAGTTCAAACCCAAGTAAGGTGACTAGGACTAAGGTATGGTTAGCGGGACACACTCATGCTGATGGTAGACCTGTGAAGCCTCAATTTGCTGAGACTATTGTAAGAATTCTGGAACTTGTTATATTGTGTGTAAGTAATGCATCATGATCAATGAGTTTTAATATTGTGTTTGAATGTTTGTCTCAGAAACAAATACAATCACTTGATAGTGAAATGGACTCTACATCAGCTGCTGATAACATAAGGGAAGATGCTGTGAGCCAGATTTTGGGAAAAGACAAACCTGGACGAGTAAGGGGGTTTGGTAGAGGGATTACGGCTACTAAGTTAGCGTTTATGCAAGCTAGAGACGCAAAAATGGCAGAAATGAAAAGTGAGATTGATGAGTTGAAGGGAATGTTTAGAGACTTAGCTGGAAAGAAGGTAATCCTTTTCATTACATTTAGTCAATTGGTCTGGTTTTAAGACATTAACAAAATTCCTTTTCCTTATATCAGAAAAGTTATTGTGACACTGAAACATGTGAGACTGAAACATGTGAGAGTAGTGGTGTATTCAAAGTAGGAGATAGAGTACAGCTACTGGATTGGATTCATTCAAGAGAAGTAGTTGTTGGTGAAGGAGAATTCTGTTCTGATGAACAGATGTACAAAATTGGTCGTATACCAATTGGTCCTAATGCAGTGGCTGTCATTGTTAGTTCTGTACTAAGCTCAACAGCTTCTCTCTGGAGGCCTACATCAGATGTGTTATATCTTAAGGAAGCTGTTGGATGCAAAATATCTTGGCCAATGGACAAAGTGCTTAGGGTTCCATTCACTTCTGAAGATGTATCCTTAGGGGTAAAGTTTTAAATTCCAATATCATTTTCTTGTGGTGAATTGATATATATCTAATCATTAGCCTCTTACATTTTAGCCAAACAAGGAAGGTGAAACTCGAAGCTGCAAAATATTTGATTGGGAAAATATAGAGAATGATGAGCTTATTGCTGAAGGTATCGTGTGCTCATCTAACTCCAAAGAGAGGGTTAACAATATTCCTCTAGGTCCGGGTGCTGTTAGTCTTCAAGTTGTGAAGGTGTTCAATTTTAATGCTCCTTTGTGGAGGCCAACTGCTGATATTAGTGTAATTGGTGAAGCAATTCATGAGAAAATCGCATGGCCTGTCCTAAAGATTGATGTCACGGCTGCAGCCACTCCAGAACCAACACTAACTAAATCAGTGGTATGTTATTGAAATTAAGTTTTTCATTTGTTTGTCTGTTGATTGATGTTGGGACTTTCATTGATGTTGGAACTTGCTCCTATTATTTGCTTTGAGTTGTAGAGTCCAGGCAGCAATAGTTCCACCAAAAGTCCAGAGCAGAAGTGTGTTCTTTTGGACTGCAACAATTCTGGTCGTATTGTAGCTGAAGGAAGAGTGATGTCAACAGATCCAGAAGATAAGTGCCATAATGTGCCCCTCGGTCCAAATGCAAGCAAGGTCTCTGTAGATTTGATTAAGATTGGTAATGCAAAGGTCTGGAGGCCAAATTCAGAGTTTGTGTTCATTTCTGATGCAGTAGGTTCAGTTGTACCTTGGCCAAGCGAGAAAGTGAAGTTTGTGTGAAACTTAGCCAATTGTGATATTGGTATTGTATTGGTATTGCCGGTTATGGATATTAGATTATGGTATTGGTACTTTGTGTAATATTATGGTATAAATTAAACTCTAAATTAAAGTTAAAATCTTAAATTAAATCTTTAAACTCTAAATTAAAGTTTAAACTATAACACATAAATACTTGAGTAAAAAAATCTAAATCCCAAAGTTTAAACCCTAACCCTAAACCCTAAACCCTAAACCCTAAACCCTAAATTCTAAATTAAAGTTAAAATCCTAATTAAATTAAATCTTTAAAACTCTAAATTAAAGTTTAAACTATAAAACATAAATACTTGAGTAAAAAAATCTAAATTCCAAAGTTTAAACCCTAAACCCTAAACTATGCCTTAGTGTATATGAACATATAAGTTAGATAGTTGGAATACTAACCTATATTAATTGTTCTTAATTTTAAAATTTTATACTTATAAGAAAAAATATTCTAAAAATTGAAATACATATATTGTATTTTTAAAGAAATAATTTATATTTTTTTCATTAATAAAAAATTTTATATGATAATTTTATGATTTTTTCATTACTAGCCAATGAGAACTCACCTCCCACATTGTGGGACGAATCCTGCACCGTTAGATCGCGCCGACTTTGATCTGAGCCGTCCTTTCTTATTGTTGACGCGATTAATATACACCCTTGATCTGTATCGCTGATTTGATCTGAGCCGTTCATGTTCTTAGCCAATAAGCTAAGACTACCGAGATTACACTCTAGGCGAAACATACACCGTTGATCTCTCTCGCTGATTTGATCTGAGCCATTCATGTTCGTAGCCAATAAGCAGTAACTACCGAGATTGCAAGCTTATTGAACCTAGACCGTTGATTCGTTTCACTAATTTTGATCCCAGCCGTTCATTTTTTATACTTTCAGACAACACATTGTTTCCAACACAACTCGATTTAGGGTTTATCGTTTCAGAACACAAATTTTCAGAGAACACAACTTCCCCAACTCGATTTTACCAAAAGTTCATCATTTCAGAACGGATTCATCTCCATCGTGACCAAATGGATAAGACGTGGATCTCGCTGCCAAGGTATACACTTAATTCTATCCAGCTTACTTATATTATCTGATTGAAAGAAATCTGAATTCTTTTCCAATTGACAATGTAGGAATACTATCGAGTACTCAGAAGGAGCAACGAATTTCGCCAAGTCATCTGCAAGAAGATTGGGAAATCTGTCTGAAATGCTATGCCCATGTAGAGATTGCCGCAATTTATGCCATCAGTCTATAGAGGAAATTGTTGAGCATCTAGTGCTTAGGGGTATGGATAAGAAGTATAAGACTTCTTGTTGGAATTTTCATGGTGAAAAAAGAGCAGATACAGAAGACAATGCTCCTCAACATGAAACAGAGGCATTTGACTTGTTTAAGACAGCATTTTCTATGGGTGAAGGTGAACCAAATCAGACGAATGATGATGAAGCATTAGAGGCAAACGACGATGAAGCAGTAGAGGAAACTGAGTTTAGGAAAAAGTTAAGAGAAGCTGAAACTCCATTGTACTCTGATTGTATCAAATACACAAAGGTTTCAGCAATTATGGGACTTTACAGATTCAAGGTTAAGAGTGGTGTGTCGGAGAACTACTTTGATCAGCTGTTGGGTTTAATTCAGGACATGCTACCTGAAGACAATGTACTTCCGAAGAGTTTAGCTGCAATCAAGAAATTCCTGAAGATATTTGGTTTCGGATATGAAAATATTCATGCTTGCAAGAATGATTGCATACTATATAGGAAGGAGTTTGAGAAGTTAGATAGCTGTCCAAGATGCAAAGTTTCAAGATGGGAAAAGGATAAGCATAGTAATGAGATAAAGGTTGGGATTCCAGCAAAGGTCCTTAGATATTTTCCAATCAAGGACAGATTTAAGAGGATGTTTAGATCAAAAAAGATGGCTGAAGATTTGAGGTGGCACTATACGAATGGTACTGCAGATGGTACAATGCGACACCCCGTTGATTCTATCCAGTGGGCACAAGTGAATGATAAATGGCCAGACTTTGCTGCTGAACCAAGGAATCTTCGACTTGGAATTTCTACAGATGGGATGAACCCTTTCTCCATGCAAAACACCAATCACAGCACATGGCCAGTGATGTTGGTGAACTATAACACGCCTCCAACTATGTGTATGAAGGCTGAGAATATAATGTTGACTTTGTTGATCCCTGGTCCAACAGCTCCTGGTAATAACATAGATGTTTACTTGGCACCACTGATAGACGATTTAAAAGATTTGTGGGCTGAGGGTATTGAAGTGTATGACTCATTTGCAAAGGAGAATTTCACACTTAGAGCCATGCTGCTTTGGAGTATCAGTGACTATCCAGCCTTAGGAACATTGTCTGGATGTAAAGTGAAAGGGAAACAAGCTTGCAATGTATGTGGAAAGCATACACCTTCCAGATGGCTTAAGTTTAGCCGTAAGTTTGTCTATATGGGGAATAGAAAGAGACTACCGCCTGGCCATCGTTACAGATATAAAAAAGCTTGGTTTGACAACACTGTTGAGGAAGGGACTGCCAATAGGATACAAACTGGCTCTGAAATATATGAGACACTACAAGCTTTTAGGAATGATTTTGGAAAACCTCTAGATAAGGAAAGTAAAAGAAAAAGAACTGAGTTGGATCAAGATGAGGTGGTTGAAGAAGAAGAGTGTGAAGAATCAAATGATATATGGCGGTGGAAGAAGAGATCAATATTCTTTGAACTACCTTACTGGAAGGTAATGTAAACTATTTGAACTATATTCTCTTATTGTTGGATCTGAATAAGCCTAACAGTTTCTTATTTAATGTGTTAGGATTTGCTTGTTCGTCACAATATTGATGTTATGCACGTAGAAAAGAACGTCTCAGATGCTATATTGTCTATCTTGATGCAAAGTGCTAAGTCAAAAGATGGTTTGAAAGCAAGAAAAGACTTAGAAGATATTGGAATCAGAAATCACTTGCACACAGAGGTCCGGGGAAAGAAAACATACTTACCTCCAGCAGCCTATTGGTTATCCAAGAAAGAGAAGACAATTTTCTGCCAAAGATTATCTAAGTTTAGAGGTCCTGATGGTTATTGTGGTAATATTGCAAATAGTGTTTCAGTTACCCCTCCAAATATAGGTAGTTTAAAGTCGCATGATCATCATGTCCTAGTACAGAACTTGTTACCAGCTGCATTAAGAGGGTTGTTACATAAGGGTCCTAGGATTGCCATAAATAGATTATGCAGTTACTTCAACAGGTTGTGTCAGCGCATCATCGACCCGGAGAAACTTATGACAATGGAGACAGAGTTTGTGGAAACAATGTGTCAACTGGAGCGCTTCTTCCCTCCATCCCTTTTTGATATCATGTTCCACCTTCCAATACATCTATCAAAAGAAGCACGTTTGGGAGGACCAGTACACTTTCGCTGGATGTATCCATTTGAAAGGTTTGATATATGTACTCATTTGATTCAATATATGTATTTACTGCAATGATATTGGACTAATATTCATTTCTTGACTGAGTTATAGGTACATGAAAACACTTAAGGCTTTTGTTAAGAATCATGCAAGGCCAGAAGCATGTATGGCTGAGGGGTATTTAGCTGGAGAATGCGTTGCATTTTGTTTAGAGTTCCTTAAAGATTCAGTACCAGTTCAAGAAACAGTTAATCGCAATGAAGATATTGAGGCTGATAGAAGCGTGGTTGAAGGTCGACCTCTGCAGAAGGGTATAGAAGTTACCCTATCAGATAAAGATAGAGACAATGCACATCGCTATGTGCTAATGAACATGGCATCTTTGGATCCTTATGTCGAGTAAGAGGTTACCCTTTATGTCTCATCTACTAATTATGATTATAATTTCATTCTCAAGACTGTTGTTTAATGTAAAATCAGGATGCATTTGGAAGAATTACAAGCTAATGATGCTCGATGTGCTAAAAGTGAAACTTTGTTATGGAAAAACCATACTGAGCAGTTTGCACAATGGCTTAAAAAAAAGGTTTACAGCTGCAACTTGTCTTCTTGATTATTTGTTATACAGCTTGTTAAATTGACTGGTTAGCTTGATGTCTGGTTTTCTTGGCACAGAATTGTTAGCTTCATGATCATGTTTTGCTTAATGACTGGTTAGCTTAGCTTGTAGCTTGATGTCTGGTTTTCTTGGCACAGAATTGTTAGCTTCATGATCATGTTTTGCTTAATGACTGGTTAGCTTAGCTTGTAGCTTGATGTCTGGTTTTCTTGGCACAGATTAATTGTTAGCTTCATGATCATGTTTTGCTTAATGACTGGTTAGCTTAGCTTGTAGCTTGATGTCTGGTTTTCTTGGCACAGATTAATTGTTAGCTTCCTGATCATGTTTTGCTTAATGACTGGTTAGCTTAGCTTGTAGCTTGATGTCTGGTTTTCTTGGCACAGATTAATTGTTAGCTTCCTGATCATATTTTGCTGTTGCAGATTCATTCAGACTCAAGAAATAGTCATTCTAAGGAGATAAGGTGGTTGGCATTTGGACCCAGAAATGTTGCTTTAGCACATAAAGGATTTATCGTTAATGGGCAACGGTTTCATACAGATGCGGTTAAGCGGAAGACACAAAACAGTGGCATAACTTATGAAGCATTTAGCATGTGTAGATCAAGTGCTCGAGATATGAGACAAGTCGCTAATGTGCTTACATATTATGGAGTGATAAAGGAGATTTTACTTATGGACTATGACATGTTCAAAGTGCCGCTGTTTAGATGCAATTGGGCCAACACAGGGAATGGTGTGAAGGAGGAAGATGGTTTCACTCTTGTTAACCTTCATATGAACCAAACAGCCTATTTGAAAGATCCATTCATTCTACCTTCTCAAGCAAAACAGGTTTTCTATTCTAGGGAAGATGATAATTCAAATTGGTATGTTGTTATGAGAGCACCACCTAGAGGCTATCATGAATTGGAAACAGAAAAGGATTTAGGTGGTGCACCTTTGCCTGTACAAGAAGTCGATGATTTGGATGATGAAGCTTTTGATGATGATAGTGTTTATGTTAGGGATGATTGTGAAGGCTTGTTAGTGGTAGATTGATAGGTATGTTTGTGGTTTTTGTAAACAATGAGAATTGAAATGGGTTATTAAACATTTTAATGGTATTTTTTTTTTTTACAAATATTCGAAATTTATTTTTTTTTACAAATATTATATTTAAATTAAAATATAATTCGTAATTATTTATTATTTTGAATAATTTAAAAACAAACTAATAACACAAAACAGATGCTATCTTTGCTATAGGTAAAATCTAATTAACGAGTTTTAATAACATCTTTATCACGCTATTATAAACATTAACAATTGCACAAAAGACAACGCTATCGTTGTATACTTAACTATTGCACAACAAAAAACCGCTATCAAAAGTGTCCGACTTTCTATAACGGGCGATGTCAGAGCGCTTAAGGAAACGCTATGGTAGATGAATAATTGCGTTTTTCGGCCGCTATTAATACCCACATTTCCTGTAGTGTTAGGCACACAGTGAACAGGTGAAACCCATGTACTATCAGAGATTGGATAAATAACATCAGCATCTAGCAATTTAAGAATTTCCTTTTTCACTACTTCTTTCAAGTTAGGGTTTAACCTTCTCTGTGGTTCAATACTAGAATAGGATTCGTTTTCAAGGTGAATTCTATGATTGCATAAGCTAGGTGAAATTCCTTTTATATCAGACAATGAATAACCGATAGCTTTTCTATACTTCCTAAGCTCAGACAACAGCAAATTCACTTCATCATCATTCAATGCAGCATTTATGATCACAGGGTAAGTAGAGTTTGTTCCGAGAAACGCGTACCTTAGCCCTTGTGGAAGTGGTTTGAGGTCTACCTTAGGTGCTTTGAGCTCAGACCAGTCATCTGAGGTAGGAGAGGGCCATCTCGACGTGTCGTCGAGCTTGCTGGTCGAGTCTGCTCCTTGGACTTCTTCAGAATTCGAACTGGGAGGGCCATCTCGACGTGTGGTCGAGTAGGCTAGTCGAGACAGTCCTGAAACGTCCTCTTTCACTGTACTGACTTCTGCAACTGGTACCTCTAACTTCTCAAAGCATTCTGATGATTCTTCTTCTTTATGGGAGTCTAGCAGCTTCTTATACCCCAATGTCTCTAAGTGTAAGAACCCTTCTTCTCCATCTTTGGTAAGAGCACTCTGTAGGTAGTCTTCTTCAGTAAGCTCTTCAAGCAGTTCGTCAGCTAAACGATCCATTTCTTCTATGTAGAACACTTGACCGTCAATGGTAGGTTTCTTCATCGTCTTAGTGATGTCGAATGTCATCTTGAAATCTTCACCGAGGTTTAAGTCGATCTTACCTCTTCTGACATCAATGAGAGCTCCAGCAGTAGCTAAGAAAGGTCTCCCTAGTATGAGAGGGTCCTTTGGCTCTTCATCCATTTCTAGAACAACGAAGTCTGTAGGGATCTCCACTCTTCCAATCTTCACTGGTAGATCCTCTAACATACCATGAGGGACTCTTACGGATCTGTCGGCTAAGATCAGTTGGATCTGGCAGGACTTATACTTGTTGAAACCGAGCCTTCTTGCTACTGAGAGTGGCATCAAACTGACTGATGCACCTAGATCACATAGGCATTTACTGAAGAACAAAGGACCTAGTGAGCAGGGTAGAGTAAATGAGCCGGGATCCCCAAGCTTCTTTGGTATGATCTTCTTCTGTATGATAGCACTGCATTCATGGCTCAACACTACCATTCCTTGTACTTCCTGAATTCTCTCCATTACCATATCCTTCAAGTACTTGTGAGAATCCGGAATCAGCATGAAAGCATCAATGAGAGGCATCCTTACTTCAAGTTCTTTGATGTGTTTAGCAAACATGGCTCTGTACTTCTCAATGATATCCCTCTTGAATCTTCCTGGGAATGGTATTTTGGGCTTGTAGGGCGGTGGAACAAAAGCTTTCTTCTTACTCTTATCAACAACTGGTTCTTTGATCTGGGGGCTCTTAGCTTGATCCCTAGGTACAGTCTCCTGGTCGAGCTTAGTGGTGTCTTCTACTGGAGTTTCATTCTGAATAGAATCCTCCCCGGCAACGGCGCCAAATTGATATTAGGTTTTTACTCTCTAACAAGTATCAATTCCTAATACACATGCCATTGTAGTATATTAGGTTGTCAATCCAATCTCAGTGTGACTGCAAGCATTCAAATCAGCACATTCCCTTTAACATTGATTAAGCAGGAACCGTGAATCATACTATGCATTGGATAAGAACACATTTGGCTTAAGGGTAAAGGTCTAGAGACAAAGATGGTCCCTTAAAGATCTGGTTTAAATCATAACAGGGGATCTCTCAAGAATGATTGAGCTTTAGTAGAATGCTAAAGGTGAGTATCAAGTTATGCATACAAGGATAGAACCCCATCTACCCAGAATGTAATCAATATCAACCCAAATGGAGGTCCTATTTCTAATCCCAGAACATGAACTTAACTCTACCCTTTTGCATTCAAAGCTTTTACAGACTTTACTCACATCATTCCTTTCTTTTCTTTGCTTTTCTATCCTAGGAGAAGCTTTCTTACTTTGCTCTGTCTAGCGGATTAGGATACTTTAACAACTAGGGTTCCCTTTTCTTTCTTCTTGTAACATAAGGCTTTTTTACCCCATTCTCTTTAAGCTATTTACAGAACCCTTTTTTCTTTACTTTAGCACACCCAAATCCTTTACTAGACTTTTCTTACTTTAGCTACTTCTCCTAAGGACTCTTTTCCCTTTTCTTTTCTTTCAATGATGATCAAAACCTTTTCTTTCTTTTAAGAACAACCCAAACCCAGAATTAAGCACCCACCTAGTCCTATCTGGTCCAGATAGCGTGAACCAGAACTACATGAGATGCTATCCTTGTCGTTACAGACCTAACACTTTCTACCAAGCTCAATCGAAATAAGGCCTCACAGTCACACACAAATGATAAATGGCTTGAAAGAAGGTTAAGGCTAAGGGTGGGGTATAACTGCTCCAAAGATGGGAGTCAGCTACTTGGACTAGCAAGAGTGATTAAAAGGTAAAAGAAAGTCCAAGTATTTTAAGGTATCCATGTGTTCATAGCACAATGCACAGAATGATAATTATAAGTCAAAATTCAAGTTCAAATAGATAGGGAATGGCATCAGATCAAAGCGAGATTCGACTAAGAACAAGAAAATCAAGCATTGAATTCAAGAGATGGTGCGGTCTTACTTCAAGTTCAGTCGATTATGCATTAGAGAACTAACAACCAGGGCACTGAGTTCTACTTAGTGAATATGCATATTTACAAGGTTATAGTCATCATAATCTCCAATGCAAATGCATGATGCAACAGTCCTATATGAAAGCATACTAAAACAATCCTAAAATGACAATGAAAGCTATATGAACACTCTGTTTTTGTGAAATCATTTTCGAAAAATTTCAAATTTTTATGGTTTTTCTATGCCTTAGATGCAATGATGCAAAATTTGAAATAAGAAAACAAAACACAATGTCAAATACTCCCTGAGCCCTCCCCCAAACTTAAATTACACAGTCCTCTGTGTAACAAGCATTTGGAAGAGAGTACTCAGGGCAAACCAACAGAGAAACAAAATGAAATGTGGTATATACAATGGTGAATTGGAGTTGTTACCTCATGGATGGGTGAAGAAGGAGGTAATTGACCTGCTACTGGTGGGCTTCATGGGCTAACTCGACGTCTCATCGAGCAGGTACATCGAGTAGGGCTTCGGTTTTGGTTTGGAATGACATCAAGGGGCTGGCTCGACATGTAGTCGAGTAGGGCGGGTCGAGACAAGGCCACTCATTCTGTTTTGCGCCTTGGCTTCCTTAAAACGCTTTATCCTGAGACACTTAAGCAAAAACATCAAAAATAACAAGGAATTAACTAATATTTACAAGGATAGACATGGGACTTCCTCCCAAGTGAGCTTGTTTAAAGTCTTTAGCTTGACTTCTCACACTGAATGAGCTTAGGGTGGGTTGTAGAGAGCAAATGAGATCTCCTCTGTCCTGCAGGTGGATGAATCATCAAACTTAGCATGCTCTCTTGACAAATTTGCAGTTGAGTACTCAATGGTCCTTTTCTCATAGTAAGCTTCTTGTCGAGCAACTGGATAGTCTTCTTCTATAGACCATTCTGAAGTGATTTCACTCCCCTTTGCGCTGACCAGAGTAGACGCTTCATCATTCGGGACGTCCTTGATTTGGAGTGGTACTTGGTTGGCTATCCCATGGAGCTTCTTGATTTGATCCTTCAGCTCTCTCACAGTGCCTGTTAGCTCCCTTATGGCTTTATCCTGCCATTTGGACCTCTCCTTGAGTTCTAACCAGCCATCTTGAGCAGAATTGCTAGACTCTAGCAGCTTATCACGATGTTTGGTCGAGCTAGAGTTCTCCAGACGAGTTGTAGGCTTGCTCAAATGTATACTCGAGTCAGTTGGTTGAGCATGTGTTGAGCTTGCTTCATATGCCACCTTAACCTCTGTTTTTGACCCAATCAAGCCTTTAAAGACCTCTGACCCTACTACTTCCTTGTGTGAATCTAGTGACTTACCACAGCTCAAGGTTTCAGTGAGAAGATATCCTGCTTCACCACTCTTAGTCAAAGAAGTTTGTTGGTGATCTTCCTCAGCAACCTCCTCTAGCTGTTCATCAGCTAGGCAATCCATTACCTTAACTACGAAGGTCTGTCCTTCAATTGTTGGCTTCCTCGTGGCATCATTGATGTCAAACTTCATTGTGAAATCATTTCCCAGATTAAGATCAATCTTCCCATTCTTAACATCAATGACAGCTCCAGCAGTGGCTAAGAAGGGCCTTCCTAAGATTAAAGGATCTTTTGGTTCATCCATTTCTAGCACTATGAAGTCTGTAGGGATTTCAGCATTTCCAATCTTAATAGGCAAATCTTCTAATAACCCATGAGGAAATCTGACAGACTCATCAGCCAGGATCAAGGAGATGTTGCAAGGTTTATACTTGCTGAAACCCAGTCTCTTGGCCACGGAGAGAGGCATGAGACTTTTAAAAGCACCTAGATCGCAGAGGCAGTTACTGAAGGCCAAAGTGCCTAGAGAGCAAGGTAAAGTAAACGAACC